CCTCTTCAAAAATGTAGATTATCATTTGAAATTCTGCTCACCCATAGATACATATCAATCTTAACAACCAAGAACCGTGATTTGTATGTAACAGCTTTGATGAATTAGGAGTGGTCGTCAAACAACTAAGTATATATCAAAAAAATAAAGCTCAAATATTCACTCAATTCCTTATTTTGTATAGACATCATATTTCCTATTATCTCTTATTGAGTGTTGAAAGGCTTTGTGTATTTAAACAGGTAATCTCCGTCTCCATTGTGACTGTCCCACAATCTAAATAAAGACTTATTCACCGCTAATCTAGTTTCTTCTATCAATAGAACGAGGGTTAACTACAGGCACTGAAAGTACTTCATGTAGATTTTTTCTATACACCATATATTCTTGATACACAAGGACATTTATCAGAAGAAATAATCTCGACCTCTCATCAGTATATGGTTTAATAATCAAGTTATTTAATTTGCAAACTTTGCCAAGAAACGAAAATCTGTTTTTCCAAAACCCTACAATGAATGATATAGCATTTAATGTCAACTTTGCAAAATACAGAACAGTAATCACAACTGACTGATCACTGGGTGGCGATCAATGTCATACGTGTCTAGTCCTTACTAGTTCAGATCGAATGCTATCGAACATGTTGCAATGTGGCCACCAGTCTAGGTGACTCGGCACTGCAGACACTATATATTGAGATTAGATGGTGGTTGGAGGTAGTCGACAGGAACATTGGACCCGGGTTTCGTGCTACTTGGCACTCGTCGGCAAGGTGTACCACATAACAACATGGTCGATAGCATTCGATCTGCACTGATAAGAACTAGACACGCATGACATTGATCGCCACCCAGTGATCAATCAACTGTGATTACATTTCAGTCCTACAGATGGTCGGTAGCGGCTCGGATCGCTCAGTGGTAACGTCTCTGACTCTGAGGCTGGGTGATACGAGATCGAATCCGCCAGGGAGCACCAGTTCCCTCAAGATTACAGGTACACCTTGCTGACGAGTGTGAAGTAGCACGAAACCCGTGTCCGGGTTTCCTGTCGGCTACCTTCAACTACCATCTAATCACAGAACAATAATCAAAAAGCTAAGCATTTAGATATGCTATAAAATTTTAATTTGTTTCACTGATTAATTTCGTTTGGTTTTCTTGGTGAATGTGTGATTAAACTCACAGGAGAATTTTAAAAAATCGCATTCATAATTTCTAGCTGAAAGTTTGAATGTTCTGATTTTCGTGTAGAAAAGAAAGACGAAATAATAAATATTGTATTTAATGTAAACACAAATGGGGCAATCGAATGTATTTGAACACAAAATTACAGAAGCCCTTAGTAAAATCTGGGACCCATACAGTAAAAGCTTCATTTGCAAAACACCATTCACCCGTTTCAGAATTCATTGTTCCTTCATCTTCACAACAAGCATTCTCTGTTCACGTCCTCTTTCCTTCGATCTTCCTAATCTTCTCCTGCTGTGTATTTCCCTTTCAATTGATGATACATACTACTTATATCTATCGACGTCAGCAGCTCACACCTCAATATCATTGCCATTTAGTGTGAAATAAGCCTTCTGAAAGCGAAGAAGGCTAATTTCCACATGTTATTCAAGTCACTGTATCTCACGTAACAAACATAATGAGGCTTTGATACTACTGAACACAAAATAAGTACATCTGGTATAAAAATGCAGAAACAACAGTGACTATTGTATCCAACTTAGCTTTAATTTTTAAAATGATGTTCAGTTAAGATAACCGATTAGGTATGTCAACAAAGAACAGCTATATGGTTACTAAAATTTAAGCAGCTAGGTTGTCTATCTACAACAGGTCTTTACCATTTTCAAAAAGATACCTTCATTTCACATTTCACGAACATGAGTACTGCGATAACAATATTGTGCTGCGTGTTAATGATATCGACAGATATAAGTAGTTTGTACGATCAATGGAAAGTGAGATGCACGGAGGCAGAAAGTTAAGGAGATCGAAGAGAAGAAGATGAAAAGAGAGAGTGACTGGTGCGGAAAAGAAGGACTAATCAAGTCTGAACTAACGGACAGACGTTTTAGAAATAAATTATTTGATATACGATTCTCAGAATTACCAAGTTATTCTGTAATTTCATTTTTTTTAATACAACATTACATATGATATGTGACGCACGAAGTGCTACTAGAAAAACATTAAACAAACTATTAAAAACCGTGATTTGTGCAAACTTGAAATGACTGACCACATTATTGTTCTTATTATGGATTAACAGACATGCCACAAATTTCGTTTACGTTTCCGGCACTGGCAAATCTACATATCAACACGTTTTGTCAACATCGTGGATATTTTTCAGGGAAACTCTGCCCCAGACTGCTTAGAATGACTGAATCACTTGCATAGCACACATTAGAAACTATATTATTCGAAAAGTCATGAAATCATCATGATAAGAATGTAGATCACCAACGTAGATGATCTATGTCAAAATGATTGGAGGCCTACTCGAGTGAGACGTGAATGATGTGACAAACTAGCTAACGTCGAAGTCACACCTCACGGTCAGCATTTTACGTGGATTACCCCATTGACGTATTAGGGTACTATAGATGCTTTGAAGACTGTACAACACAAAGGACGTCATTACAGGAATATATTAGGTAAAGTAGATACAAGCGAAGGTAAGACCACTACCGCATGGGCCAGTCCATGGCGTACGATTAACTGATGCGTGTGGGTTGTCCTTGACTCTGACAAGGATCGATGATTTGTTCGATACTCAATGACACAACTGCAGGATGATTTGACTAGGGCTCAGCTGAATTTCACTGGCCCTACAAGATTATTCGACTGAAAAATATTATGTGAATGAACCGATTGAATTTTACTGCCCAGTTCTCCCCACATCATACATGATGTAAGCACGTGATGAAACCTCCGCTAGTCCACTAACAGAAGTTATCTATTCATGTTTATATTTACTACTGCTCATAACAGTAATGCGTTTTTATTGTAAATCGTTTCATAACAAGAAGTGGTAATGAGCTGTTTGAAATGTAGTTTAGGGTCATCCATATACTTTTTTCTAACAAACATTTTTTTGTAGTGAACACAGACTGAAGTGACCTAATTCGACACTTTTAATGAACGAAGAGCATCCCGTTACTAATAGCAATGTCCAGCGCTATGAACAAAACAGCAGCCATTGTTACTCCGACTTCAGCTGTGTAAGTTATAGTTTTAGTAATCATTTGAACAATTTCTTACATCATAGGTGTAAAAGTTGGATTTTTCAACATGTGGATTGCTAGTTAAAATTCAAACCAGACACAGAAAGAAGTCAACGTAAATTTCTCCTTATACACGTGAAAACTGATAACCCAGAAGTCTAGTTTAGCCAACCTATATAACTGATAGCTGTCGGTCGCTTTTAGTTTTAGGGGTAAGTTATTGTTTTCTACGAAACAACCTATATATATCCCACTAATCATCCAAAAAACTGCAAAATCACAAATGTCTACTAGCTATTGGCACAACTGTGGTTAATCATATGACAATATTTACTAGAATGTACTTAGATATACACAATTTAAAAAGCGACGCAAAGATCGGCCTCAAGAATGCTGGTTATTGCCTCAGCAATGAGGATAGTGGGTTGGTTTGTCTCTGCTAACCCGGACACCCTGTTTTCCAGTCGTGATCCAACTTGTCTTTGAGAATGTACACCAATTACGCTGATGCTACTTAATCAAGTAGGACGTACTATTCGTCCATCACATTTTTGGAAAAACGGAATCCCACTCCTAGTCAGTTTGATCACTCTACTAACTTTCTTGGAGTAGCCTTGAAGGTGCTTTGTCCAGGTTTAAGGTATGAATTTCGAATTTGCCATTGATGTTCTCCCAAACATTTAGTATAATTTTAAAGCAATGGATCAAGCAATCATAAATTGTCCGTTGGACTTTGTTCCCTACGTCATAGTATCAGTTCTTTCTTCTCTCGTAAGGGCCAAAATCTAACACGTATAAACCCCATATTTCAACTTATCAACTGAAATATTGATATGCTACGCGACACTGGACTATCGATAAGTAATACATCTTAAATAACCAGCTATATGACATTCAGCTGAGTGGTTCCACCTAAACAAAAGTACCAAGGTGTGGCTGTCTGCACACAATCCAATACTCCAAATTTGGGTCATACTGTACGTGTAGGCTAGCATGCTGAAGTCAAAAACAATGGACTTTTTATTCATGCATTTTATACTGACTAGATACATCTGCCCTCAACAATCCCCGACTCTTTTGAACATCAGACAGGAAACTCACTACAATATTATGAACCGTTTTATATTTAGCACTATAAATCGTGGAAGTGATAGAAATCCATAGACAACTTAGGAGTTGGACACGGTTTTACAAATAGTTAGCGCAGATAGTTCTAAAGGACATGAAGATTGGCTATATATCACCTCCTGTATATATACTGCGGAAAAGAACTCACACGTAAATGCTGAACAGAAAGCTGGCCGACGCGCAAACCGATTTCGTAAGTATCAACAGGGAACTGTTGAGACTCCACAAGTCAACAGTACTGAGAGAAGTTTTGGAAGTGGTATTATGGATGTTAAGCGCGACATTTTCTGATAAAACCCTACTTTATTTACATTTCAGATTCGTATCGGTATTACCTGGTTGAGGATAAATACACCATGTCTATAATTGAAATAATAAAAGAACGAACATCCGGCTTGAGACTGTCAACTCGAAACGACAACGTGCGGGGATGCTTGATTAAGGAATACCATTTCAACTGCAGCGTACCAACATTTCTCAAAGAAATACACTTTACCAACTTTTACACTAAAAGCGCTTCTGCACACCTATGTTACCAAGACACGGTAATTCCCACCCATACATATAATACACGTTTGTTTTTTAGGCTTCTGCAGAACCCGTTTGGGTTAATCTCTTCAAAATTCAGATGATGAAAGACATTCACACTTCATTTGGTGCATGTGCTCAAGTTAGAATAACACTCCCTCCAACTTTCGAAACAGTTAAATCACGGAAACGGTTATTCAAAGTATGTATACAGTTACAACAACCCTCCTTAATGTGGAAAGAATATACAATAACAAATGTGCAATTTTTTGATGAGTATTTAGACAATTCTAACCAGACCACAACAGATTCCACTGAAGATCGACACACACATCTAATCAATGAGACACAGAATGCTTTGACCACACTTTGCACACTAATAGAATTTAAACAAACGATACAAAGCCGTGAACTTAACGAAATAGATACCTTAGCACTATCTGACGCACACTTTAAAATTACTTGAAGTTACCAGAAATTTACAGGAAGACCAATCACGTATTTAACACACCACTGAGATTGAGAAAAACCACCACATAACGGGAGGACATTTACGAACATGGAAGGCGTGCCCAGAGCTTATTAGGGATGAAGATGAAGAAAACAAAAAGCGATCATGGTATGCCAAACTAGTTCTCCCAAATGATAGTATCAACGACACTGGAGACAAAGTGAATAGGCAGTCTTACCACGTGTTTACTTTTACACCGTAAAATCTGATGGAAATGTCCCATTCCTCGCAGAAACTAACGATATAACTCAAAGTGACGCAGAAAGGACAATTGTTTGCAAAGTACGTGAGGTATAGACGCGATATATCTAAAAGAACTGATTGTAATGAGTTTTGACACTTCATAATACAATACTGAAAAGGACCTAGTTTCCGAATGCATGAAAATCTAAATTGTTTGTGACTGTAAATTAAATAATGCTGAGTACTCGTTATTGCAAATTATTGTAGTGTTCTGAAAAATACATTGTTATGTGGTCTTCGACCAGTACATACTTCTTTCTGTAGACAAAGATAAGTTAATGCTCGCTGCAGATGTTTATAAAAATATAAAGGGCTTCTCGACTTTTAAATGGTCCACTAAGTTCACTTAAGATGTAAATGGTCGGAAGATCAACAAATACAAAGATAATACTGCGAATCGATTGACATGACAATGGAAAATAATTCTTCCATATGAAAAACTTTTATCAGTAAGCAAAAAGAGTAGCATAGTTACAGAAATTTTCAAACAGGACAAATTTTTGTATACTCATATAATATATGCAGAAAAGTAATAACCGCGGATAGTACCTATACATTCTTTATTTACACAATCATATCATTCTACGAATCATTTCATTTAATTGTTCTTCTCGAAACCCTGTTAGAGAATCAACACGAGCGTGACAGCGCCGTGAACCTGACATCCAATCACGACTGGATGACATAAGTTTGAATGGACATAAAAAGCGCTGAACGGCCATGAAGTTTGAACCAATAGTTACAAGTTCGTGGATAATGTCCTCTATGCACAAAATCCCACAGTGACCTTTGAAAGACAAATAGAATAATGATTTCAAAGTGATAAATCTAGATGAGTTTATCCACAAGACTATCAATGTTTGTATGAAGTAACATGGAAAACTATTGATAGTTTTCGGAATATAAATATCTGCAGCGTAACTAAAATAATATATCACACTCTTATTAACTTATATGGACAAGCAGGCATGAAAAAAGACGGTATAAAATGCATCAGTCCACTGTGGCACTTCAAATTAACACAAAAAGGGATGCCAATGTCAAAAGAAAATGAGTCAAACGACAGATACCAAGGATGCCTTAATCTAGCGGTCACAATACGAGATCAAGACTAAGATGTCTACCAGTCATAAATGAAGTAGAACCTAGCGCTAATATGCATCATTTTGAGTTGCTACACGACACATGTATAGTGGGATATCAGAATACTATTAGTAGTTACAGTATTAGCGGTAGTAAAAAAGACTATGCATAAACGATGCGGTTTGAGAAAAGTTGGATTCATGAAATCAAACAAATTGCAGAATAAGTTGTAAATTTAGGACCGAAGGGAGAGTAAAGGATGAATAGATTTGAGCCGCATCGCTTAGAGCGTAAAACTAATGGTTATGAAAATCCCACGAAACACAAATAGATTGCCTGTACTTATTACTTATAAAAATTACCCAGTCCGAATACCAATGACATCAAGGACTGACGCCACGAATTGACTTGACCAACTACAGCCTATTCACCAACCTAGTGCTATAACAGCCATTATCGCGTAACACAAATCCAAACGCCAAAATAGATGTAAATTCGTAACCTCATCGGCCGACTTCTACGTGTACCCAGTATTTACTTACGCCTGTCACCCCTCATTTAGCGCAAACAGTCGACCACAATTCTCTTACCAACTCTGTCCTGGACTCACCTTTACAGTTACTTCCGAGTGCTATTCAGTCTTTTGATGACTGCCTCCAATTTCAGGAGATGTGGGTTCTTTGTTTTGTCTTTTTCTTATACCTTTAGGATTCTAAGTTAGGGCTCGCCTCGTGACGCAGATGGATGATTTCCTCAATGTATGTCCTATCTACTTTGAGGATCCTTTCCAGACTTCCTCTTTAGAACGAAGATGATTTGTTCTCTGCTATAGTAGGTTCTTGCTGATGGTATCCCGTCAACGGACATTGAGTATCTTGCGTGGACAACAGTTTATAAATACCTGTATTTTTTTATGATGGTTGTGACAGTTCTACACGTTTCGACTCCGTATAATAAAACTACCTTAACGTTAGTATTGAAAATCCTGAGTGATGTTTTTGTTTTGAATTCTTGGTGTTCTTCAGTTGTTGGTGTCCAGCGCTTTGTTGGTTCGTGCCTTCACATTTGCATCAGTTCCTCCTTATCTATCGACGATGCTGCTCAGGTGTGTGAACGCTTCCACCGCTTTCAGAGCTACTCTATCAAGTGTGATTTGGTTGGTGTAAGTTGTGTCGCATTTTGAGATCTCGCTTTTCTCTTGTGAACGTTGAGGCCTACTGCTGCACAGGCTGCTGCTACATTATCTGTCTTTACCTACATTCATTGCTGCGTATATGATAGAAAAAACTAGGTCATCTGCGAAGTCGAAATCTGCACCAATCTTCAACTTGAGCTCTACGTTTAACTTCGACACAGCCTACTTGGTGTAGTTGTCAGACTATTCGGAAAGAATATTCGGATGGGTGTCCCAAACTATGTGGGAGGAAATAATCTTTTAGCCAGGAAGGAACATGGTTTCGGGAAAGGCGTTTCATGCTCAGCAAATTCCATTACAAGAGAAGATTGGGCTGCAGCAAAAGGTATTAATATCCTAGTACATATAATTTTCATGGATTAGAGTAAAACTCTTGACAAGCTCTCTTATCTGGGTCTTAAATTTAAACTGGGAAGGTTTGAAACCCATTATGAAATCACAGACTGTAAAAATGACTTACTCGATGATAGGAGTACGTGCAAATGGGGCTCTATCAGTGTGGGAATCTGTGAAAAGTGGATGTCATCAAAATAAGATCCTCGGCCCGACTTGTGTGAGACCGAATTCGGAATATGGGATTTAAGCGATGAGTCTCTGTTCCAAGTACGAGGTAGATATGCTACAACAAGTCCAACGACTAGATTAAAATGGTGAAAGGTCGCACTGTCCTGTCTTATGAAGACAGACTGAGACGCCTCCACGTACTTCCGTTATTTGCCGCAGGTTACGGAGTGATTTAATGACGACCGGCCGTGGAATGAACGATGACCCTGGTCTTAATGTTAAATCTTTTCCCTACATCGAGAACTAATCATCCAAGAGTACATTTCAAAATTCTTCAAGAACCGATATCAAAACGTTTACGACTGGAAATCCGTTTCTTGCACAGTGTAGTAACTAACTGGAATTCCCTGCCAGAGCACGTAATATCACTACCTTCTGTAGGTATTTCTAAAGCCATATTACACCTTCACAGTGCTACAAATTGAAAAGATTGATATCAGTCTACTGAGCTCCTAAACTTGTTACTAAAGACTGTGATAGCACTTGGAAGACCTCGTAGTGTATAAATGTAAGAAGACTAGTTCATTTCAAATCCCCAGTTGATCAAAACACTTAGTAAAAAACAATTTTGGTAACAAATTAACACTTAAGTTCACCAAAATTTCTCAAAGTCAGTCTAGACACACGGACTCGGGTAGTATTAAAATTTTGGGGTTATAATCAGAGACGTAGAAAGACACACGGTAGTCTAATTAAGTATTAGTACATTCAGAAGTTGATCGCAAAAAAAGTCATTACAACTGAAACCAGCACACAACCTACCTAGTTTCTCTTCAATTATTTTGTTGTCGATTGAATGTTTGTGTCTACCAAGCATAGTACGCCCACGCTTCATAACCATATCGCGTACCACTTGCAGGGACGGATAACCCCATACCACATAAGGTGAAACAATATTCAACAAACTAAGAGTAGCCTAAAAAATAATAAGACTATAACTGTTGAAACCTTTGTAATTTTAATGAAAACAGCTTGATTGCGTGTGTCAAGACGAAGTAATCGGAATACATCCTTACAAACATCCGCAAGTTGCTCTTCATCGTCCTTTAACCGAATGACAACACCCAGTCTTGGTTGATCATATGTTGAAATCGGAGATTTGCGTTTAGCAATCCGCTGCAAGCGTAACTCATCGTATGACCGTCTGAGACCAGTCTGTGGATTTGTGATTTCGCAAAGTTATCCTCACCTTTATAAAACGGATCGGTGGTTGGATAAGACTTCTGCGTTTTCGGGCACGTTTACGCAACTCCTCAGAACGCAGGCGCTGTTGTTTGATTATATCCCGGCTAACCCTTTTTCTTCTTTTAAGAAGTGTAACAGGAATTGTATTGAGTTTAACAGGCTTGTCCTCGTCCCTAAGGTCTAAACAATGGACGAATGTAAACCTACATGACTAGTACCGAAAGATCCAGAAAACGCGCTCACCTAGTTATGTTTCAGTTTCAGTTCGGAAACGACAGGAGGCTTGATGACCTATGTTAGTCCTGGCAATAGTGGTCTCTCAGTTGATCCAACTTTCTATTGAAAGCGTCGATGGATTGAGCCTCAATCACGTGCTGAGGTAATGAATTCCATTCATTGATGATTCAACGGGAAAGTCGATAGTCAATTGACAAGTAATTTGTCCTGTGCTTGTGAACTTTTTCGGATTGTCCTCGTAAATTCTCTGCTTTGAAAGACAAGAAAAGTGAGGACATATCAGGTGCAAATTTATCAATAAGCAATTTGAAAACTATAATCAAGTCGCCTCTAGTTCTTCGATATGACAACGAGAATAGGTTTAGCTTGGCCAGTCGAGCATCATACGGAAGCTTCGCTATCCCGGGAATCAGCTTAGTTGCTGTTCTCTGAACCTTTTCCGAAAGTT